TTTCCACTGTACGTCTGCAAATGCTCTAAATGGCAAGACTCTGACTTAAATGAAGCACAGTTTAAACCCTATATGAAAATTGGAATAAGTTACTAAAAAGGAGCTTTGTTATGTAAAATTACAAAAATAATAGCAGTGACTTTATCTTCTATCTTCAATACATCAAAGATTATCACTAAATGTAGAAACCATATACATCACAGAAAGATTATCACTAAATGCAGAAACCATCTACATCACAAAACAGCATTCTATGTACTTAAAAGACACAGAATATATTAAAGGAAGGTAGAGTATGGGGAAAAAGAAGAAATAAAAAGAAACTGATATAACTGCTGACATGAAAACATTTTAGATAATCTGACTTTAGCATCTAAGTTTCTTTTTTAACCTCTATTAATAACTGGAATATTCAAGCTGAAGACAGGATTCTGCATCCAGTCTAACAAAGACATTCTAACTAGTTCTAGGCATACTGTTTGACTTGTTTTTTTTTATCATCTGCCCCAGAAAATAGTATAAGATTGACATCTAATGGGTATTTTTTAGTAGCTGTCACTAACATTTTTATCAACATGTATTAACATCCTGGTGACAAACTAATTTTATTTAATCATGGATTTAGCCTCTCTCTCTCTCTTTCTGATTTATGGCACCATGTCACTGAAACTGCTAGTGAACCAGCTTCCCTACAAAACACAGCAGTCCTACTAGAGATAACACCAGATAGTACCGTTATTGTATCCTACCAGTATCCTACCAGCAAGGTTCCAGAATAGGTTACAAAGTAAGCAGGACGTGATTCTGAAACCAGAAAATGATATCACACAAAAAAGAAAAGTACAGGCCATTTTCTTTAAAGAACATAGGTGAACAATCCTCAACAAAATAGTAGCAGGCTGATTCAATAAGACACTGAAAGAGTCATATGCATGATCAAGTAGATTTTACTCCAGAGATACAGGGATGGTTCAACAACTTATGGCAAACTGCAGAAGCAGTCTACTGACAGGAAAATTACAGCAGTACAGGCCAATATCAAGAAACAAAAACAAAGCTCCAGTGAATAGTCTAACTTTATATTGTAAGTTTCTAGAAAAAGAACAAATAAAACCAGTATCAGCAAGAGAGAAGAAATAATGAAGAAAAACATCGGCAAGAAGAAAGGAAATAACAGACTAGAGCTGAAATAAATAAAACAGAAATTTGAAAGATAGTACAAAGAAAAAAGATCAATGAAACTAAGAACTGATTTTTTTGAAAAAAAAACAGAAAAACTATTACTTAGGTTGACCAAAAAAAGAGAATGCTAATAATAAATAGAAGCAGAAATGAAAGAGAAGTTACAACAGATGTCTCAGAAATACAGATCATAAAAGACTGCAATGAAAATCTTTATGCCAATAAATAGGACAACTTAGAAGAAATGGACAAGTTTTTAAAGGCATACAATGTGCCAAAAACTGAATCGGAAGAAATAGAAAACATGAGCACACCAATTATAAGAAAGGAAAATGAAACAGCAATCAAAAGTCTCCAATAAAAAACAAAAGTCTGGGACCATATGGTTTCACTAGTGGGTTCTACCAAATCTTCAAAGACAAATTAACACCTATCCTTCTCGAACTCTTCAAAAAAAGTTGAGGGAGAGAAAATGCTTCTAAACACATTTTTATGGGGCCAAAGTTATTGTGATACCAAAAGCAAACAAGGATACCACAAAAAAGAAAATTGTAGACCGAAGTTCCTGATGACTATACATACAAAAATTCTGAACAAAACCCTACCAAACTGAATTCAACACTGTAGTAAAAAAAAATCATTCATCATGATCAAGCAGTATTTATTCCAAGGATGAAGGATGGCTTAATATATGCAAATCAATTAATGTAATCCACCACATCAACAAAAGATAAAAATCATGTAATCATATAGCCAGACACATAGAAAGACTTTGACAAGTTTCAACCTTCATTTATGGTCAAAAGTCTCCAATAAATGGGATGGAAGGGACGTATTTTAATATAAATACTGTATACAAACTCATATCTAATATCATAGTCAGTGGTGAGAAACTGTCAGCTTTCCCTCTAAGATCAGGTACAGGGAAAGGATATCCACTTTCACTACTACTATTCAACATAGCACTGGCAGTCCTACCTAAAGCAGTTAGTAGAGAGAAAGAAATGAAAGGAATCCAAATTTGGAATGAGAACTAAAACTATCACCATTTGCAGATGACATGATAATATACATACAAAAAACCCCAAAGACACCACTAAAAAATTATTAGGAACAATAAATCATTACAGTAAATTGGCAGGCTATAAAATCAACATATAAAGTTTGGTTGAATTTCTAGATAAAAACAATACAAATTAGGGAAAAAGAAGACAATGATACAGTGAAAGAACTGAATATTGGATGAATTTAATGCACTAGACACATAGGCTAATTTTCAATGATATACACCTGAAACTTATATAATATTAAAATGCTTTGTTACTTCAATCAAAGGCAAGCAGAACAGACACAAAGTGCTGGACAGGTTCATCACAGTGGCCTCCTTTGTATGTTCTGCAGTCCAGAAATGTAGCCCTCAACTTGGCTATTTTGCTTAATATTTTCCTCAGAGAAGAGTTCAGTGTCTAAATGGCCAGTAACAATAACAGCTGCTGCTCTAATTCATATTTTGAAAAGTGTGTGGTTTTATAAAAAAGACATGTGCAGTAGTCATTTCCACCCCAAGAGTGTGAGAGCTAAGTCAATAAAATATTAACCAGCCCACTGAGTAACCACAGGGTCTTACTCTTCAAAGATTTCTGTATGAGATGTTTTTCTTCACTGTAAACAACAGAACCCAAAAGATACAACCTGACATAGTTCAAATACTTAAATTCCTTTCCCAAATCAAACCACAGAGAAAATAGGACTTCTAGTTTTCCCCATTAATGAATATCCTGGAATTTATATGCAATTTCCCTTTCTGGGCCCTCCCTGGTGGTGCAGCGAGCTAAAGCACAGCACGTTCAATTTCCGGCCAAGGAGATGACCTCACATGGCGCAGCAGACCTCTCCTGACCCACCCGCTGATCCCCTCAGCAGTGTGCTTCGTCAACTGGCCTGTTCTGCTCCGCACTCTGTCTTTGGTGAATCCGCTCATCACCTCTGGCCTGTACCCCAGTTCTGTATGCATAAATAAGTAAATCTTCAAAAAAAAAAAAAAAAAAAAAAAAAAAAAAAGTTCCCCTTTCTAAAATAAATACCCAGAGTTGACATCATTAAAGAGAGACTAAAAACTAAGCAGGATGATGAAGACTAGAATTAAGTCCTCTATAATAATTTAGTTTTTTTTTTTATTTTTTTACTTGGGATTACATACATAAAACTGCACATTAAGAAAAAAACAGCTAGAGAAACAAAAGTTAACAAATGGGAATACATTAAACTACAGTTTATGCACAGCAGAAATAGGAGAGAACATTTGTAAATCATATTGCTCACAAACAGCTGAGAGGGAAGCGATCTAAAGAACTTATGAAACAAACAAAAAGCAAACAAGAACCCAATCTAAACAGACACTTCTCCAAAGAAGACCACAGATGGCCAATGGGCACATGAAAAATGTGTTCAGCATCACTCATCATCAGGGAAATGCAAATCAAAATCACAGTGATAAACCATCTCACCTCAGAGAATGATCCACATTACAGTAAGCAGCCCAGGAACACCCTACCAGCTGCTCCCCTCAGCAGTGTACTCCGTCACCTGCCTGTTCTGCTCCCCACTCTGTCTCTGGTGGATCCTCTCACCGCTCCTGTGCCTCTGGCCTGTACCCCAGTTCTATATACATAAATAAATAACTCTTTAAAAAAGAAAAAGAAGGTACACTGTGAAGGGGAGGGAATAAGGCAGAAGGGTAGCATTTACTTTGTAATTCATTAGTTTAATTGTGAACAGTTAGGCAACACCATGCCAAAAAGAAGCCCTAGAAATCTGACTGTAAAACAGAAGCTGCCAGAGGGCGAGGAAAACAGGGAGAGAATTCCATGGAAGTTGGGTGCCGTGGAGTGGGTGTGGTGTGAATAGTATACATCTGAGGAGATGGGATTCTGTATTTCTGACTCATCAAATATTGTAAATCTATGTTACCTTAATAACAAATGTACAAAAAAATAAATAAATAAAAGCAGCAGCCCAGGAACAACAGTAGCTGGTGAGGGTGTGGACAAAAAGGAAGAAATGGGAGCTTCATATACTACTGGTGGGAATATAGACTAGTCCAGCCCCTGTCGAATGTATTCTATAGAATGGGGGTTTCTCAAATGTACTAAAATTAGACCTACCATATGGTTCAGAAATTGTACTCCTATGTATCTACCTGAAGAATGCAAAACCACTAAATCAAAGAGATATATGCACTCCTATGTACATTTCAGCTCTATTTACAACAGCCAAGTTATGCTGTAAACAACACACGTGCCCAAAGACAGAGAGAAGGTTAGAAAAATGTGGTTCATGTAACTACTCAGCTATTTGCAACTACTTACTTAGCTATTAAAAAAAAAAAAAGATGAATTCTTGTCATTTGCAATGACATGGATGGATCTGGAAGGGATAATGCTAAGCAAAGTAAGTCAGCAGGGGAAATTCAATACTGGATGGTTTCATTTAAATGTGAAATATAGAGGAAAAAACAGGGCTGGACAAAAACAAAGTAATAACAAACCCTAAAAACGTGACTGTGGAGTTGGGACTACAAGACAGGGAAGGGGAACATGGAGGATTGTGGGGGAAGGCTGTGGGTGCCTTGGTATGGGTGCGGTGTGGTGACTTGTACATCCAGGAGACGTGACCCGGCGCTCTGGGTCACACACAGTTAAAAACCAGTGTTACCTCAAAAAAATAAAACATATAGTGACCTCTTAAAAAAAAAGTCTTCCATTTGCCTTTTCCTTCACACACACACATACTGCAAACTTCACAATACAAGTACTTACCTGACTTTTTTGCCCTGTTCAGTAAGCATCTTTACCAAATCAGCAATGGGGTACTGAGCTTTGGCTGCACAGAGACCGTAGCCTAGGAAGAACATTGAGAACACAGAAGAATATGGGGGATGTTTGAAATTTGTATGAACAACTTTACTCTTTATCAAAACACATTTCTATGCCAACAGAGGCAATCAATTAAAAGGACTAGAAATGAAAGCAAATTTGCAAGAGGAACTTTTTTTTAAAACTGGCTAAATTTCAATTCTTTTTTAATTGGGTACACTGTCCCATCTCTACCTCAAACTTACTGTCTCCAGAAAGAACGCAATATACCCCGTCCCATTCAAAAGTGAAAATACTCCATATTTGCAATGTTACCACAATAATAACCAAAAACTTCCATCACCTTCCTTCTCTAATCCCTACGTTCTGTCCATTCTACCCACACAATGAGTTTTATATCTATCCTGACTTTTGAACACCCATTTCTCTAACTGCCAACTCATTCCCTCTACCTTCTCTCACCTCAGAAGCACCCATCCCCTCAAGCCCAAAACAAATCTCACACCAACAATCTTTCTGAGGTTCCCGCAGGTGAAAAACTACCTACACGGTTCAATTTAGCCCTTGTCATAGCCCACCCCACATTAATTCTGCATCTGACTTCTTCACTAGTGGGAAAACATCTACAGGGAATAGACATACCCAGCTTCACACTTCACACCTTACTCCAGCAGTTTCCCAACAGGTAACACCAATGCCACTTTGGTTGGGACACATCATTATGCAAGACTGTCCCAGACATTAAAGCTCATTCAGTCTATCTTCCCCACAAGTTTGTGTCCCATCTTGGAGACAACCAAACATCCAAACATCCAAATCCACCTGTTTCAAATTCTCCTAGAAAGTGATATTGCCACCTTCGGCATTCAATTCTGCTAGTGTTTGTTATTTATAAATTAGTATAAAGTGAACAAGTGAATTACCCACATGTCAAATTAATAAATTTTCTTGATAGAAACATGAGAGAGTCAACATTTTAAATTGAAACCAAATTGGAGCTCAGAAAATTATAAAGTTGAGGCGTGGAGAGATTAAATGATTGAGTCAATGTTGATGGTACAAAATTAAGTACCACGGTAAAGTACTGCTGCTTCCAGACCAAGTTCTTTCTAGTAGGCTTTGCTACCTCATTTTTTCAGAACAACATGATTCTTAATTTTTAAAGTAGAGATATTTGAAAAATAAAGGTTGACATTCACAAACACTGAATGAGTCTAATGAGTTAACTAGGCAGCTACAGGTACTGGACTGTTTTTAACAATCCTAATAAGGTAGCCAAAAAATGAAAAGATGTATCAGTGACACAAAAATTTATCAATAAGGGAAAAAATAACCAAAACTCAAAGATGATGTAAACATTTTTACAGAATCACAGAACAATATGGCTAGAATTTACCACATCAATTTATAGGATTTCTATGTGATCCCTAAAATGTTACTTAAGCTAGTAAAATAACTTTACTGAGTAATATAGTTAAGTTCCCATTATATTTTCAAAAATGAAGAAGCCCCTATTCTATGTTTTCTTATTATAAAAAAAAATAAATTAATGCAATCAACCATACCACTATTAAACATTATTTGCTCTTTGGTGGTTTGGGTCTTTTTGTTTTTTTTTTACCTGGAGTAATAATAATACTATTAGCTTCTCGAATCATGTCAAGTGCATTGTCAAGGTTGATTTCTGTATGTGTGCCAGAAATTTCCATGGGCTTTCCACCAGCTGTTGAAGAAGTGCCATAGCCTCCAAGAATCACATTAGCCAGGGAGCGATTCATGGCCTAGAGAGCAAAATCATCAGCTGTCAGGCGAAATCCACAAAATTTTTTTGCAAATGGTATGAACTTGTATATATGATATTTATACCACAAAAGAGATTCCTATCATTATTTAAAACACTTTGACCAGATAAATTTGACTTAACTTTTTAAAAAACTAGTTCAAAAAACTACAGGACAAGAAGACATCAAGAAAACCCATCATTTTTTTTCCTAGAAAATCAACTGCACACTGACAGAATACCAGTACAAGAGTAAATTAAAAAAAAAAAAAACTTAATGGAAAATTACCAGAAGAAATTAATGAAAATTAAGATCTGTATAGTGATTTTATAATCTGTATAGTGCTTACATTTTACTTCGACACTTATGTGTATTTCACCTGTGTAAAAAGAATGATGGAAGATATTTTACAAAGCAGTCATAACACACCTTAGGTGAATTGTGCTACCAGCTGCCAGCTGTCAAGCAAGTGGTAACCAATCAAAAATATTAGGGACCCTTTCATTTAGTACTCTGCTGCCCTCTGTTGTCCAGAAAAAAGAAATGTGGGTGTCGACACTATTTTCCAAATCAACTACAAACAGCACCATAAATCTTACCAGAAGTGTCTAGACTCATTAGGCAGCTAAAATACTTCATTTCCAAAAAGATAGGTAAGTTTATACAAGGTCTCATTAAAATTTGCAACCACCCGTTTAACTAGAAAATAACCTCAAGGAAACCTTAAGAGAAAGGCACATGTTCGTTTTACCATATACCACACAAATGCTACAACTAAAATAAGCAGTATCTGATCTGGTCTTAAAAACAGTTTTTTTTTAGAAGACCTCTGGTCTTAAAAACAGATCTGGAGGAAAAATAAAATAGAACAGGTAAAAGCTAGGTCTTCTGAGCAAATGGATTTTAATAATGCAAATCCTTGTCTGTGATCAGAGCCTAACTCTACAAAGCATCAGCATAACTGAATTTATCACTGCAGAAAAAGTTAAGCTCTATTTTAAGAGTTATAATAAAGATCAGCAATTCACTGTTCATGCAATTTAAAATCTACATGAAATATCTACTACTTTATGAAAAAAGATAAGACTGTATATTTTAAACGATCTAAAGATTTTCAGTTATCACCATAAAAGAAAAATCATGACCATTCATTTATTCAAAGACAGTCCAACTGGCTTCTTCCTCAGTAGAGACGTTGCTTCAGCTGGACACAGGTAAAGGCAGGGAGGAAACTAAGCAGAAGAACTGAGCAGAGTCACACTTGACTGGAGACTGAATATCCATACAACAGACCTCAAGGATGACAGACCATTATGGCATCAGAATTTTAAATCATTTTTCTGACCTATGCTCATATATCAGATACAACATTCATATTTCATAGTCCAAAGTCTACGTTTGTCTAGGACTATCACATATAAAGCCCAGAATATCTTTATGCATATTTTGAATGAATACAAGAGTAGGATAAAATTAACGTAACACTTTAATGAAGTTCATATTCCCAGTCTGATATGTTTAAAATTCCTAACACAACCTACTATAACTTAAATTCAAGGTTTAACAAAACTTCAAATTGTCATACCTGAGACTTCCCAAATACTCAACATCTGTTGATTTTGATAAATTCATTCTAGTTTTGAGTCACAGGATTCTGAGATTTAATTACAAAAAATAGGTTCTAATAAATTTTAGAATTGCTTCAGAACTGTTACAGACACAGAGATATTTCTGTCACAGAAAACTTTTTAAAAAGTTAAAGGTACAAAGAGACTCCCTGACCGTGGAGGAAGCCACAGCCCTGTGATGGCCGAATGACCAACAGACAGAACACAGAGGGACAGACGGAGAAAGATATAACCATTTTATTCTAACTTTACTTAAAAGAACCAGTCTTTGCTCCTTATAAAAGTGAATGGAGGAGAAAAGAATTTCTGAGAACATTTAATTAATGTGTACCCACTTGCAATGGCATCTTAGAAAGAAAAAAAAGAACCACACAGTAGTTTAACAATCAAAGTCAACTTGCTAAAACACGTATCCACAATTATATCACCATTAAGTTAATTCCATGTGGTCTCTTAAAAACTAAATTATTTTTCATCTCAGAATTTACCATTGCAACATCACATTTTCAACAAATGTTTAGGGTTTAGAGTTTTGTTTTGTTTCTTTTTTTTTTGGCTAAAGTGATGAATGAGACGCCCGGTGACCACCGATCCACAGACTGAAGAGTTCCCAGTCTCCAAGACAAAGTATTTGCAACACTGTCCAAAACTGTTCCTTTTAAGTTATTAAACCCCTTAATGAACACTGTATGCTACATTAAAGAAAACCTTAATCCACATAATTCCAAACAAACTATAAGAAATAAATCTGAAAACAAAGGCAAGGTCATAAAGTAGACAAAGACAAAGCAGTATTTCTTAGCTTCTCTCATTTCAATGCTTTGTAGGTGTTAATTAATTGATCACAAGGCAAAAAAACAATCATTTTTGGTCTGGCTTTGATCCACTTCGTTTTGTTCTATTTTCATTGGGAAAGAAGGGGCAAATACAAAAAAAAAAAAAAAATCGGAAAAGTTGATCTATAAATGTGCAAGCTCTCCATTTCCCAAGACATGATCTCAAGTAGATGAACTATAAAATCCTAAGAGGTTAGTTAGCATCTATATAACATCTGGGTATACAGCAAATCATTCATTTGGGCTGGTGGTTTGGACACTATCAACATTTTTCAGTTTTTATAAAAAGTTGAGTATTGTGTAACCACAGCATTAGCTCAGAGGACACCCAAAAAAATTCTCTGTCTGAAAAAAATCAATTTTAGGGACTGCTGATTAGCCACTTGGGAAGCATTCCATTCCCGCTCACATAATAAAGCTGCTCTGTTCTGGTTTGGATTTGCATGTTTCCTTCAATAAATAACAAATTAATGGAGGTAAACATACTAGCAGCATTAAATGATACTGAATTGTACTATAACTGTTACCATAATCTATACAGAAAGAATTCTAAAATATGTAATGAGCTAACAAATATTCATCTAATACTTGTTTAACAAATATATTCATTTGAGTGTACCAGGAGCTAGGTTAGGCTCCATAAACATAAAGGCAAATAGCATATGGCTTCTCGAGATACCTTCTCTGTAAAATGAGGATGCTCCCCTACATCCATAATTAGTGTTGGGAGTAAGTGGGCTAATATTTATAAAATATCCAATGTGATACCTGCAGTAGTGTATTACCAATTATGAACAACCATTTCATTTTAATTTTTCTTATTGTTCATTATTATTTATTATTTTATTATTAATATGAACCACATTAAGCAGCTAAGCTCCAGTCATGAAAAAAACAATTTCTTATAATGAAACACAAGCTAAGAATCCATGAAGATTAACAGGACAAGTCAGAAATCACAAAATTTGAGAAGGCAAGAAAATCTCAATCTTCAAAATTGAAAAGCATGCTTGTTTTTGTGGTTGTCATTTGTTTTATAATAGGACTTCAGAGTAGAAAGTATGCAATAAAATAAGCACTCCAGCCATTACCGGTAAGAGTTTTGACAGAATTCTTTGGGGAAGGACAATTTATCAATGTGAAGAACCACCAGAAAGACATGAATTCCTTTGACCAAGAAATTATACTTTTAAAAATATGACCTAAGAAAGTAATCAAAGACAAAAAAGGCGGAATTATGTAGCAAAAAGAAAGCTAACAAAATGAAGTGGATTTGGATAAACTATAGTATGTCTATGTGATATAATAACATGTAAATGCTATAATAATTAGTTACAAAACCCTCATAAATATTAGCAATAAAATTAATGCAGAAAGTATTTAAACATACTATAAAATGACTAGCTCTAGAATGTTAAATGTCAATAATTAAGTGGTAATAGGGTTATAAATTAATTTTATTTTCTAATTTATATTTTTCTATTTTCTTCCAAATTTCCCATATCAAGCATTTCTTATTTTTGAAATTGAGTATTTTTAAAAATTTAAAGCTTCAACTGTCCTAATCCAAAGTACATAATTTACTATTACAGACAATTACTCTGATCCAGTATGATTTGCAGGGTTCTACACAGTTTATTAAGTTAATGAATTTTTATTCTTACTTTCATGAAAACTATGGTAACCTTATACATAATATAGGAATAAAAAATATCTAAGGTAGGCTGGTAACAAATAGCATGACAGAAGCAGTAGAGATAGAAAAGAAACAAAGAGCTAGAAAAAACAAGTCAAAATATATGAGAGAATTTTAAAAAATGAAAAATATAATTACAGAAATACACACAAAAAAAGACTACTTTCAGTGAGGGCCTCTTCTGCCTTATTCTGGTTACTGTTATGAAATTGTTACTTAAAAGTGACTGTCCACTGGAGCTTTGGGGTGGGGAAGTGGGTGAAGCATGTATGCATGTTGATCTGTGACAATGGACTCAAAATTACACGTATATAAATGCAAATCAAAAAATATGATTTTAAAAAGTTACTGTATTATTATACAATAATACAAGAAGGCAAATGATGTAGGGAAAGGAGAGAAAATGAAAAAGACAGAAATTTAGAAAATACTAAATTAGTATATTTAAAATCCTAAAGAAAATCATGTAAGAAAAATATAATAAAAGGATGTACCCATGATAACACATTGAGAACTAATACAAATTCTCTCCACTATTCCCCCTATCAGTGTATCACTGGCTTTAAAAATCAAATCCTTGGTTACTTTTTTAATACCTGTGTAAATTCCCTTTGCTTTCCTAACTAAAATTTATTAGTTATTGTTTTTTGCTGGTGTTAAAGTTTTCATAGAAACCAAATTGTATATTTAAATAAACTCTATTCTTAATATTAAGAAACAATTTGAAAATCAATTTTTTTACCAACCACAAGTAGGTACTAATGAGAATTTGCTGCCCTCTGCTGGTTACTCAATTTCACCAAAACTAAGGCTTGAGAAAAACTTTTCTAATGCAATTGAATGTTTTTCTTCTTCACAAATATTTGTTTTTAAAAACACCGAAACCTGAAACTTTCCGACTAAGAGACTCAATCCTCCAACTGTCCGAACTTCCTGAAAATTTGGGGGATTTACTTTTAAAAACCTCTTGTTTTTAATTTTGACTACTAAAAAGGAAACTTTTTATTATTAAAAAACAATGATGGCCCTCCCTGGTGGCGCAGCGGATTAAAGCACAGCACTAAGAAGCTAAAGCCACTTCCGCATGAGTTCGTCCCCAGCCTGCCCCAGAGGATTCTACATGGCGTGGCAGACCTCTCCTGACCTTGCCCGCTGCTCCCCTCAGCAGTGTATTTCGTTGATCTGCCTGTTCTGCTCCCCACTCTGTCTCTGGTGAAGCCTCTCACCGCCCCTGAGCCTCTGGCCTGTACCCCAGTTCTGTATG